ATGGATGGATGGATGGATGGATGGATGGATGGATGGATGGATGGATGGATGGATGGATGGATGGATGGATGGATGGAGTCCAATGATCCTTTTAGTGATTGTATAAAGGATTCTGTCAGGGATGTTCAACTCATTTTAGTTTTATAATTAAAGTGGCACAGAGTTACTTTACACAGGAAACTTGTGCCAAAATGTCTAAAAATAGCACTTAGTGCAGTCTTGGCRTCTCTTCCAGTTTGCAACTCTTTAATTAGATAATTAAAAGGCAGATGTGAAATCTAAAAGATTTTGGACAGAAACCAGGGCAGTTTTATGTGGTGTGGTGTTTGGTTAACAAGGCGACTCACAGGTGATCCAGATGGACCCATGTCTCCTTTTTCTCCCTTGGGTCCTGGATAGCCCATGACGCCACTCTCTCCTCTGGTACCTTCTGGACCAGCTGGACCTGGAGGACCGGGCTCTCCAGGCTTTCCTCTGGGTCCCTTTAAACACATAAATTCATTGTTGCTCACATATTAACAAGGTGCTAACTTGGAAACAGATACATTTTTGCATAAAAGCTAAACTTTTATTGTAAGTCCTGATMGACTGTTCCCAATTTGCAGTAAATCAAAATTCATAAAGAACTTATATTACTAACTTGTTAAACTATTAGAGTTTGGTGTCTTCATTCATAAACCTATTGTTATATGAATAACTTAGTTTTGTAACAGGTGCTATGCCTCTTTCTTTTTTTTAAAGAAACCTGAGTCATGCTGCATTAGACTGCTTTAAACTCCCCTAAAAAATGTAATCACTTGTTTTATTTTTAATTAAAAAAATGTATTGCTATTGTAACAAAATTACTCTTCCAACAATAAGGCTCATTGGAGAAACACAGGTGCCTAAAGCCTAATGCTGGAAACCAATAGCAGCAGTAAAAAAAACAAAAACGGCGTTAGTTTCAGTTCCAGATAAAACAAGAGATGTTTCGGTGTTTCATCCAGAACATGATGTGTTTTTGCAGGTAAACGGGATTTCCATGTGTCTGAATCCTGTTTTCATCTATAGTGTATTAAACAAGAAGGAATATATCATCTCTGCACAGAAAACCTGCTGAGGTTTTCAGGCATGAGCTCATCTCAGAGACAAAACAGTAGCGGACACATTTTGCGGTCAAATGAGCAAATCTTTTTTATTTCTATCCCCACCACACACACACACACACACACACACGCACGCATGCACGCACGCACGCACGCATGCACTCACACACACATACACACACACACACACACACACACACAAAAGAAAAAGACAAATGTCATGGATAAGTAAATATTTAGGCACAATCACCAAGGCACCCCACACCCCCACCCAATCTCCCAGAGCTCTGTATGTCAGCAGGACTGTGCCACACTTTGTTTTGCCAAACCTTTGTAGAAATAGAGGCCCTAACTCATCAAAGTAATGCATAGCCTTTATGAGTGTTGATCAGGGAGATGTGTGCCTCAAACTGCATTACTAACTACATGCAGCTTCTGTCTTTGCTGGCACAGTTTGTCCAGCTTTATATAAAGATTGATGCATGAGAGAGGAAAAAAAGTTTCCTATATTTATGCAAACAACTGACAGAGATACAAGCTCTCTTCTCTCCTCTTAAACTCCAGAGAGCGTGTAATATTTAGCTCTTGGGAGAGCAAACTTTTCTTCAGGCCTTCATGGTGGATGCCCCAAACTGTAGCTGCTTTGAAAGCCAGTGTAGTCCCAATGCTCCCCACAGAGGGTACAACAAACACATGGCCCATGATAAAACCATCACTTTGGCATTTAAAAATAGGGTAATGCTGTAAAGGTAAAGATAAATAAAATAAAATAAAAAGTCAAACCATTTATTGATTTACAAATACCATCCTGCATGTGCTGTCCCTGATATGAGTCACTGTCCTTGTAGTTTTCAGGAGTGCCTCCTCTCATTTAGACCTGCTGCTCACTGAGAAAACATTTTCCTATTTCTCTACGTCACATAACTAATCTGTGTGGTGGAAGTTGATTTATACAGCAAGGATAACTAAGATCTGACAAAAAAACCCTGCAAATTAAGCAACGGATCCATTACTGGATGTGATTAAAAATTTGTACTCAGCAAAAATTGGACATATTTTAGATCCACAGTTTCCCTCTATCAAAAGTGTAATCTAAATGTCTGATATAAAACAAATTTTGAATGAGTATTTTTACTTTTTCAGATACAAATGAGGTACAAATTACCAAAATATCTGTTTTTGCGCATTTAAGAAAACAAAGATTTGTATGAAACTGACAACAATATTAACTGGTGATAATCAAGTATTACCTTTTCTCCATCTAGTCCTGGAGGACCTGGTAGACCAACTTCACCCTTAAGATAAAGTAATGTTGACATAACTATGAATATGTTGTTGACAATACATGTTAAACATAAAAAAATCTATTTAGAAAATAACAGAGGAATAAAATGTAAATAAAGTTTGTAATAACATAGTTTATAAATATTTTTTTTTGCCATTTGTGATAATAAATTGCTCCTACTTTTGTGCCAGGGACTCCAGGTGATCCTGGAGGTCCAGGTAATCCAGGGGGACCCTAGAATGGGATGAGATATTTGTTTAATTTATCATGTTTTGTTACTTGGTAAAGCTTCATTGCTATATGTTTTTAGTAATCTTACTCAGTTTAGCTTAGTGTTCAAAATTATGTTCTAATTAAATCTTCCTGCCATGCTGAAAGCTGCAYCTGGTTTCTCCTCTAACACCTAAATGCAGTGTTTCGATACATGAGATCAARTCTTAAAGCTGCTTACCATCAGACGTATGTTGCGGATATCCTGTAAGGAAGGATTTAGAATCAGTACCCTGACAATTATCTCTTTTTGCTTGTAAATGTTTTTAAGAGTAACATACGTTTTCATTGTTCAGGATGTCAGCTCTTCCTGGCTCTCCAGTTGGGCCTGAAGGACCCTAAAAGTTGAGAAAGAACATGTACTGAACTGTTGTCCTCCTTAAAGCTATGTTTGCAATATGATGAACATTTTAGTAAAATCAGTGAAGACTTACTCTTGGTCCAGCTGGTCCTTGAAGACCTGCATCTCCCTAAATATATCAAAAAGACAAATAAACAGTCAGACTTAAAAAAGAAGCTTACAATTACCAGTTTGATGGAAGTAAACATAAGATGTTAAACCCATCAAGATGTGACATAAAAATATAAAATACACTTTTAAATGTCGTTTCTCAGTTCTTTCACAAGTGCTCCAATCTTTCCTTCTTACCTTATCTCCTTTCTCACCCTGAAATAGAAATGAATATTTGATTACCTCGTTTACATGTTATAATTTTATTTAATGGATAAACACCAAAGCTGCATGTTCATAAATCTGTCAAACTAGTTCATGTTACCTTGGATCCCGTTAGTCCTGGCAGTCCAGGTGAACCCGGCTCTCCTTTGATTCCTTTAGCAGTTGTTCCCGGCTCTCCTTTCTCCCCCTGGTATTCAAGCAATATAACATCTTACTAACCTCAACCAATATGTTTTGTTTTGATTAAGTGAATATAATCAGTTTGATCTACACAAAAACAAATGAACAACAAAAAAAGACATTGCATTCAWAGGTTAAATAACAAAACTCAGAATAATGCAGCTTTACAACAAATATTTGTCAAAATTACTGAATATTCCACAGTATAAAATAAAACACATTAATTACATCTTTGACAGCTTGTGTTAAATCATAACATTTTGACACAAGAACACTGAAACTCTTGCACCTCAACAAGGAACACAAACCCAGCTACGCTTAAACACATATGAAGCAATGAGGTGATGCATACTGTTGCTTCATGTGCAAGAAAATGCATCAGTTATTCAACACAAAGACAACAAAGTAGTTGGAATGAATTCAGATATTCTGATTCATTAGCAGTTAATTTTTCAGGCCTTTTAATAACAAGCCATGTTTCTCATCAGCAAACTAATTTTGCTCGTATGAAATGAAAACAGTTAAATGAGACATATCAGGCTTTTAAATCCTTCTTTTTCACATTTTAACCATTCAGTTGAGGTCTATATGAAGTGGAACTGCAATGCATTGGTCTGACTTTGATCTTATTGTAGCTCCACAAGCCCCTCTTTCACCACTTTTCTGAGGTGTGTCTCAGATCAACTCGTTTTGAGGCTGTCTCTTTAAATCCAAATGAGGCGCTTCTCGCCCTTCCTCCTCCAGTTTCCAGACTGGCTCATTTGAAGTAAGTGTAGTTAGTAAGTCCGGACATTATTTGGCAATTCCGTTGCAATTACTGTGACGTTATAGTAAAAAAAAAAAACATCATAGAGAACTGGAAATGTTGAAAAATATGATCAAAACAGAATATAAAGATATCTACGCAGCACCGGTGGAGACTAAATTCAACTCTTCTGCACTCCTTGAGACACAACAAAATGTATTTACCAGATAAAAAAGTGGATTTTGCATGATGTGTCACCTTCAACACCAGCAATGAAAACTACTGTAATTGTGTTAAAATTGTAAGACAAAACCACACCAACCAGTGCCCTGATTCACCAAAGGGTTGTACGGTCTTTGCTGACATTAGTCAGATGCATATGTGATTTTCCAAACAGTACTGCAAACAAAACACTATCTTTCTGCACTGATTAAGTTTAACTAATATAATCTGCAGCATTTTAAAGACAATCCTCCTGCATAAACTTAAAGCGCATGTTTCTTAAACTGCAGTGCAGTTTGGATGAAATATTTTGTTTGTTAGAGCCAAAGGTAACTGCTCCTTAGGAGAAGAGGGAAAGGAGGAAATGTTGCCTTCACAAAAAAGGGCAGACATGTCAGGAAAGATAYAATTCATCTTCTGTTGCAGTGATCGAACAGTTCTGCCTCTATAAATACTGATTTTAMAAAGGCAAAATCGATTGTAATTTACTGGATGAGTCAACATTCACAGTACAACATTTTATTTAAGAAAGGAAAGGGAAAATGACATATCCAAATAATGGCCATTAATTAGGCTATGTCCAGCACATGGCCGACCATCTCAAAGCCATCATACTGGATCAAAATAAACGGATTTCYTGTGTGTTTTGATTCACTCTGTCCATTCAGATGAGACAACACTTTGACAATTAGTGCATCCACTGGAGGTTAACAAACATAACCTAATGTGCATGTCTGTGGGACAGCACTGCACCCTTGAGGTAGTAATGAGGGTTCCAACCCTCCCCACAGGTGTAAAGGGTGCAGTGAGTTGGTTCAGGATAGAAACGGGGGGTGGTGGAGACAAATGTGCAGAGTTGAAGCAAATTCTATTGCTGCATAATATTAGTAAATCAGGAACACTGTAATGTAACTGGAATATTGTGAGTCACAAACACAAAACACAATGGTAATGACTGATCAGCCTTATGCAACCCAGATAATGAACAAAAAAATGTTAACATGAAAATGACCAGACAGGACGTTCATTCCATTCCAGGCCTACCCGATAGCCCCTTTTGCCAGGAATGCCAGGAATACCAGGAGAACCAGGGATTCCAGCCTGGCCCTTTGCAATGAAGGAAGACAGTTATTGCCCATAGATTGTGTGACGCTATATGTTAACTGTCTCAGAGTGCTTAAAACTGTACCTTTAACCCAAGAGCACCTGGGAAACCTGAGTCACCCTTCAGCAGTCAAGATGGCATAAAACAGTAACAAAAAAGAAAAAAATAACATCTCATCAATTTTTTTCCCTTTAAAATATTGAAAAATACACAGAACCCACAGGAAAACCAYGTTTTAATATTCTCATGTGATCCTGTGTGATCACATGGTTTTCCACATGAGAAATGGAAAATATAGTAATTTCTTCATTCATCTCCAATTCCAATGAAGTTGGGACCTTGTGTAGAACATGAATAACAGAATAAAATGATTTGCTAATTGTTTTCAATCTTTATTCAATTAAATTCACTACAAAGACAAGATATTTAATGTTCAAATAGATCAACTTTATTGTTTTTTTTTAATGTTCATTCATTTTGAATTTGATGCCTTCAACACATTCCAAAAAAGCAGAGACATGGACATGCTTACCTCTGTGTTGCATCACCTTTCCTTTAACAACACTTAAATGTGTGTGACCTGAGGACTCTAATTGTTGAAGCTTTGTAGGTGCAATTTCRCATTTTTGCTTGAACAACATCAGTTGCGCAACAGTCCAGGGTCTCTGTTGTTGTATTTTGCTCTGCATAATGCTCCACACATTTTCAGTGGGAGACAGTCTGAACTGCAGAGAGAACAGTCTATTACCTGCACTCTTTTACTATGAAGCCACACTGTTGTAACATGTGCAGAATGTCTCTTGACATGTCTTGCTGAAATAAGCAGGACGTCCCTGAAAAAGACATGGCTTTCAGGGAAGTTCCCTTTACAGTCAATCATGACAAGCCTGTCTCCAATTAACCTGTGGAATGCTCCAGACAGGTGGTTTTTATTTATTTATTTTTTGTAGCGTTCCTCAACTTTCCCAGTCTTTTGTTGCCCCTGTGCCAGTTTATTTTTAATTTTTTTGGAACATGTTGCAGGTATCAAATTCAAGATTAGTGAACATTTGCAAAAAAAAGTGTATCTGTTTGAACATTGAATATTCACATTTCAACTGAATATGCTGTAGGTTGAAAAGGATTTGCAAATCATTGTATTTTTTTATTTGTTTCACACAACTTCCACCATATTTTTCCCTGTGATGAGCACATGAAGATGATACAAGTATGTGTTACATGCCTGTGCTAACCTTGCAGTGGTTGTGCAAACATCTTCAGAAGGAGAATAAACTTCAGTAACTTGGTTTCCTTAATTGTGCTTGAAAATATGTGGCTAAAAGTCACCTTGGTGATGCCTGCACTTCTGCTGTGCAGTTTTTTTTATATTACACTGCCAGTATTAATTTAATAAATACAAACCAAAATGCATTAAAATGTGTGAGGAAAAACTATTTACACCGTTAGTGCAACAAACAAACAAGCAAACAAACAAACAAACAAACAAACAAACAAACAAAGCTGTAGCTAACAGACTATGTTAATGAACTTGTCATAGTACACAAGACGACCTTTRCTTTTCATTCAATTTTTTTTATTTTATACACTGTATTGATCCCCTGATGGGGAATTTAATTCTCTGCGTTTTACCCATCACACATGTGAACAAACGTGGAGCAGTGGGCTGCCAATTTCAGCTCCTGGGGAGCAGCTGAGGAGTTAAGGGTCTTGCTCAAGGGCCCAAAGTGGGGCTGGTTGGTCCAGGGAGTTGAACCGGCGACCTTCTGATTAAAGATCATCCAATTACAAAGGTAGACTTTTTTTTGCCTGTTTTCAATTAAATAAAAATTAATCTTTTGCTGTTTATCAATCTGTGAAGGACTTTTCCAAACGATTTAAATGTCCTAATTCCACTTTGGTTCTCTGTTCACTGTATTGTACAACATGGCCAGATTATACATGAAATAAACCTCAAATTGACTGTGTTGGGGCTTTCAGAAAGCAAATGCATTCTTGCAAATCCTAAATAGGCTGAAGCAAGTGGGTTAAAATGAATCCACAAAATTTAGACTTATTATAACCTGTTCAAATTGCAGCTGTAGAATATGGTTCTGCCAGCTGCCTAATGTGAACTTTCCATGTTCTGCTTTTCTGTTTTAGGTAAGTAAATAGTTATTTTAGTTATTCCTTTTTCTATTTTAATATTTTTTTACATTTTTTCTCATCTAATTTGACATTTTACTTATGTTTGAGACTTTAAAAACACAAATGATTTTTAATGTACCTGAATGTGTTAAATGTTACAAGTGAAAAATGCATTGTTTTGTAAAGCTGTTAAAAAATTGGGTTGAACTTGACTTCTTTCTTCTTAAACAATATATCTATGGATTCCCACTTGTTACAGTGAACAATACCGGAGTGGTGTGGTTGATTATGTGAATTTTTGATTGTGCTCCAGACTTTCTCAGCCAGGCAGCTCACTGTTTTTAAGGTAGAAAAACGAACAAGGACTGTATGTTCTTGGGGTAATTAAGGTGGTATGAACAGTGGTCTGTCTAGAAATCCACTGTCTTAGTGCTGTAGTTATTATTTCTCCTAGTTCCCAGTTGCTTTCAGTCTTGATTGACATTAGTCCAAAGACAAGCTCCATTATTTCAGCTCAGAGACAGATTCTGACACAAGTTCTGAGGTGGGCTGTTTCCATCATGTCTGGATGTATGGTTGTTGGATTTAGAAGCTTTGGATGTGAGTCTAAAAGTCATTATTTGCATTCAGACTTATCCAAAGATAAATGGCCATTGTATTAACCACAAAACCTCTATACTGTCAGTGTTTCCCTCTGGCACCAGGCAGCCCGCTCACTGAGATTATATTCAGAGCAGACTTCCCAGAGTTGACGGAAGCCTCAAATCCTTCTGCAACCCTTTTTTGGCATTGAAGAATTGGCCTGCAAAATTGCTTTTTCTTCATTATTAAAGCTCATAAGCTTTTTCATCTCGCTGTTACCTGAGGATTACTGTAGCTACTTTTTCTTAGACTTTTATTCTTTCCCTCAAGTATTTGAGCTACAGGTTTTAATGACAAAAACACAAACAGTGGCACTGCTGCAGCTGCCACTGCCATGATGTCGATACTAACAGAGTTGTGTCCCGATATCAGCAAGTACTCGCTCAAAATACCCTGACTCCTGGGATGATACATTTTATTGCGTGGGCATTCAGATTAAATGAGACCTACTAAAAATGTCAGTGTGAAGGCTTTTTGCCATCAATGCAACCTGCATAATCAGAAGATAATGTGTTGTTGCATTCAGCTCACTGTTTACAAATGTAAACGGGTCTCTATCCACGGATGCTACATTTGGGCTTCGTATTGATGGACCAAAGTGACAATGTTTGTCTGGATTCTCAGTTTTCCAGGACATTAAAAGAAAACAGCTGGACTTCTGTTCTGTAGCTGAATAATGTGGAGTTACAAGACTTAAACAGCTTTTCTCAAGGATAGTGTCATTATTATTATTGAATCAATGTGCTCGCCCACCACCTCACTGAYGTAAAAATTGGCTGAAATGCGACACAACCATTCTGATTGCAGTCGTTTTGAAAAACATTCAATATACAGCAGGTAAAATAAGTAGTTCAATACTTATTTTACGTCAACATTTTTCTCAGTAAATATATTACTAGAGGTGCTAATGACATGAAATTTTCACCAGATGTTGGCAACAACCCAAGTGATCCATACATACAAAGAAGCTTCAGAAAGACCTGGAATTAGCAGGTACGTTTGTTTCAAATAAAACAATAAGTAATGCACTGAACCACCATGGCCTGTATGCACGCTCACCACGCAAGACTCCACTGCTGAAGAAACAGCATGTTGAAGCTCCTTTAAAGTTTGCTGCACAACATTTAGACAAGCCTGTGAAATACTGGGAGAATATAGTCTGGTCAGATGAGACCAACATTGAACTGTTTGGATGCCAGAATACACATCATGTTTGGAGGTCAAATGGCACTGCACATCAGCCCAAAAACACCATACCAACAGTGAAGTTTGGAGGTGGGAACATCATGGTGTGGGGCTGTTTTTCAGCATATGGTACTGGCAAACTTCAAATAATTGAAGGAAGGATGAGTGGAAAAATGTACAGAGACATTCTTGATAAAAATCTGCTTCCATCTACCAGGATGATGAAGATGAAACGTGGCTGGACATTTCAGCAAGACAATGAGCCCAAACACAAAGCCAAGGAAACTCTCAGTTGGTTTCAGAGAAAGAAACTAAAGCTGCTGGAATGGCCCAGCCAATCAGCTGACCTGAATCCAACAGAAAATCTATGGAAAGAACTAAAGATCAGAGTTCATAGAAGAGGTCCACGAAACCTTCAAGATTTGAAGACTGTTTGTGTGGAAGAATGGGCCAAAATCACACCTGAGCAATGCATGCSACTAGTTTCTCCATACAGGAGGCGTCTTGAAGCTGTCATTGACAACAAAGGTTTTTGTACGTATTTTTTTAGTAAGTATTAGATAAATTTCAGTAAGTGTTTTTAATACTTTTTTTCCCTGTGCCATTTCACATTATTACAAATAACTTCATTTCTGGACATTTATGGTTTGATTTCTTTGTATGTATGGATCACTTGGGTTGTTACCGACATCTGGTGAAAATTTCATGTCATTAGCACCTCTAGTAATATATTTACTGAGAAAAAATGTTGACGTGTTTTTTATATATTGACGTATATATTATTTTACCCACTGTATATACAATTTAGTACCAGGCTCTAAATAAAATAAATGTGTTTTTTTATAATCACTGCGTATTGTTTAAGTTTTAGCTTGGGACTGTGCTGAAACAGTCAACCAACTGGGGAGAAATAACAGCATTACTGTTGATTGGGTACCAGGACATTTTGGCATTAATGAGAGAGCTGATTACCTTGCAAAAGCTGGCAGTCAGGTCCACTTTAAAGGACCAGAGCCTGTAAGGCTGCCCTACATGCCTGGATTAGACATCAACACTCAATTCACTGGAGGGAGCTGACGGACTGTAAACAGGTTTGGGAACTGATAAACAGCTCAAATCTTAGGTTTGGGAAAGCTCTCATCTCCATGACAAGGAAAACTCTAAGTACACTAATTGGAGTCCTAACTGGGCACAATCAGCTCAAACACCACAAAACGATGATGGGACTCCATGACAATKGTCTGTGTGATGCCTGTGGCATTGAATTAGAGACGTCTTTGCACCACTTAGACCACTGCCTGGCTCTGAGCAGTCAAAGGAAAAATAATTCTTGGGGACCTCTTCATGGATCCTGAAAAGCTCAGAACACAGAGTGTTTCTAACCTCGTGTCCTTCATCCAAGGAACGTGAAGGTTTGATTAAAGCTCAGTGTTTTTCTGGGGAGAACAATGGGCCCACTTATGAGGCCCACCGCTCATATGAGTTCTTTATCCTGTTAAAACCCTGTGAGCTTAAAGGGTTATCCATCCCCACTCACCATAACCATAACTCAGAATGTACTTATTGTCGGTACTTGGTATTGGCAAGTACCCAAACTGAAGTACTTGTACTCAGTTCAAGAAAAACTGGCATCGAGACATCCCTAGAAATAGCATTGAAGCACGAAGATTAGTGTTAGAAATTAGAGATTAAATGTGACAAAATACCAAAAATCAACTAATCTCACATGGAATATCAGCCAAATAATTATTTCTTTGCAAAGACTTTGAGATATAAGTATATTACAGAATCATTGTAGTTGCCTTCTTGAGGGATTCCAAGTAAGTTTTTTTGAGCTTAAAGGTGGTCACCCGCCTTCCAAATTTAGTGCATTTTTTCTATTTAAAGATAAATTAAAACTGAGTTTGAATGATTCAAATTGTAGAGGACACACCTGTGATCCTGGCTCACATACATGTAACAAACCTTGACATGCAACACACACATACACACACACTTATGCACAGCTTTCAGTCTACCTTCTCTCCCCTCTCTCCTGGGAAACCCCTTTTCCCTTCATCCCCCTGCAAAGAGGACAGAAACACCAGCTCTGAGGAGCAGCAGGGCAGTTTAAAGCAGGTGTGCCTTTTCAACCGGGGATAAATTACAATACAGGAGGAAAAGCTCAGGGGAGAAAGGACTGACAGCGACCTGACAGCGGGAGATTTAAATGTTAAGACAGGAGATCAAATGCCTGAAGCAGCAAGTGGTTGCCTTGGAGAAAAGTAAACAGTACGCCTGCAGAGCGTTCTTCCAGACCGACCATTCTGTTTGATAGCCCATGTTGTAAACTCACTTACGTACCTCCAAAATCAGTTTTGTCTTCTTCTTATATTTATTATAATATTTAAATCAAGTAATAAATGAGACAACCTACCTTAATTCCTTCTTCTCCTTTATCTCCCTGTGAAGCAGAGCAGAAACAGATTTACTGTAACAGCAGCTGAAAGACCACTAGATGGAGCACAAAATCTACTTGAAGCTTTGAAGTTTATTGCCCCCACACACACACACACATAAACACACACACAAAAGAAGCTGGATAACGTCGCCTGTGGAAACCACTTCCACGTCTGCTTAGTGACCTCCATCTGGCCTGATGTACTCACGGAGCTTACAGCAAAAAAAAAAAAAAAAAAAAAACATCAGTCTGGGAGGATTTCATGGGAAAATAGCACGAGGTGGAGGAACATTTGAAGACTACGAGGAAATGTTCTGCACAGAAGCGAGCTGCAGCAAAGGTTTTCCCACTAGAACGTCTGCTGACAACCATTTCATGAAAACATTCAGTAATTTGTTAATTTCCACTGTGATGACTGCAGTTTGCTGACAGTTACAGCATAAAAATGTACTGTTTTCATGCTCAGTACTTCAAATGTTATATTAATTCCTGCTCTGCCTGATGTATATGTGTTTTTACTGAGGGGTTATGTTTAGGGTTAGGTTTGTACCAGGGTGGTTATAGGGTAAGGGATCAGGGCTAGGCTACAGAAATGGCTGGAAAATTACTAGAAATCAATGAAAAGTCCCCACAAGAATAAACAAACCAATGTGTGTGCTGTGGTGGAGGTGTCCTCAAGAGGAAGAGCATTAAGCAATGGAAAAATGGCGAGGACAAGTATGAGGAGAGCGTAGCGGACATAGCTCACACTGGCCCTCCCCACACATCTTCAAAGCGAAGGTTAAAGCTTTTAAGCTCCTATCCAAGCAGTGTGTGTGTGTGTGTGTGTGTGTGTGTGTGTGTGTGTGTGTGTGTGTGTGTG